CCTCAATGTGACGCACGGGGTATCGGTCGGGAATTGTCCGTGCGTTTAACGCTCTATAGTCACCGCAAGGCCTCCAAGCTTCTTCGCCCTTCTTCGGAACCATATGAAGGGGTGCTGACCACGCGCTCTTCGAAGGACAAGCGATGCCCATCTTCACCATCGCGTCGAACTCCTTCTGGGCAGCCTTGAGCCGGTCCGGTGCAAGCCGCCGCGGCTTGCTGGAAACGGGTGGTCCAGGGGTTGTCTCGATGTAATGCACCGTTTGGTGCGTAGTCCTCATCGGGGTGCCGCTAGGCCGTGTAAGTTCCGGCATCTGCATCAGGAGCTGGTGGTAAACGGTAGTCCCTGCTACTGTCTTCACCGACGGCGTTTCATCCTCGGCTCGTGTTCCGCGGACCGTTAACGACGTGGTCCGATCGACGAGGCGACGATTGCGGATGTCCACCATAAGATCGAAGTGATCGAGAAAGTCTACCCCGATTATGGGTTTTGTAACATCCGCAACCACGAATCGCCACACGAAATCCCGTCGTAGGCCGAGGTGCAGGTTTAACGACACTGTCCCGTAGGTGTTAATTACACTCCCATTCGCCGCCGCCAGCTGGTACTCCGATCTTTCTCGCAATCCGCCTAGCAGGCGGCGCGGAAAAACGCACAAATCGGCCCCGGTATCCACTAAAAATTCCGTCTTCGAGCTGTTGTCTAAGATGAAGAGGCGGCGTGATGCTGGATTTGTGTCGCTGGCCGCCATCAACGACTCCCCAGGTCGTTTCCCTGATCCGTGGCGTTCCAATTGCACGGTGCAACGCACCTCTGCGCGGCCGGACCGAACCGCCAATGGTACCAGCATTTCCCTTGATGGTCCATTTGTCCTCCCGCGGGCCGCTCTCGCGATCGCGATAGAGATCGTCTGCGGTAGCGCGAGTTTGGATGATTTCGGTGGGTCCACCTGCGACGGGAAGATTGCCCCTGGTCCACCAAGGATTCACGGATGGCAGAAATTTCCTGCCTCAAGGAAAGAGCCAATTGTGACATCTTAATGTTTAACATGGCCTCGATGCTCGGGCCCGGCGGGGGTATTTGGCAGGATGCAGATACGCTCGTAATCGCGGCCTCCGTGACGTGTACCCGCGGTGTCATCGTATCCGCAACAGCGTCTGCCAACTCTGCCACCTTATCCAGCGGGGTGTCCCGCTGCGTGGCTAAAATCACCTGCATATTAGCAGGTAGTCGGCCCATCCAAAGCGTCCGCAATACACCGTCCGAAAAAGCCGTACCGGCCAATCCGCGCAGGTGACGAAGAAATTGGGACGGTTTTCTGTCCCCGATTTCCTCGTGTTCCAATAACCGCCGCGTTTTCTGTTCCTGCGACGCACTAAGCCGGCGAATGAACTCATTTTTTAGCGTCGTGTACGGATCCGCGGCCGGGGGATTCATGATAATGTCTCTTACTTCCGCGGCGTGTCGCGCACTTAACGCGCCGAGAATGTACCCGAATTTCGTGGTCTCCGACGTTACATTGGATACCTCAAAACTTCTCTCTACCATTGAAAACCACATCTCCGGGTCTCCCGGACAAAACTCGGGTATCCGTACAGCGACGCGATCAACTGCCAACGGCACACCCGCGGATGTCCCTGCGTTAACGTTAGGGTCAGTCATTTTACCAGTCTTGGTCACAAAAGATTAATTTCACCGCACACACACACCGCGCCTACTATTTGTCAGACCGTGTCCTTTCCTTATGTCCTTAACACTATACACTTATTTCTCTACACTAACTAATATTGTCCGTATACAAAAATGTCCAAATTTTCTTAAAAAAACTTTACTTGCGCGGCGAGATCACGTCGGGGTCACCAATGTGGGATCGGGAAGATAATGACTCCGCTCTGTTCCGTTCCGCACAATTTTATTGTTGCTGTCGTACAACGACGTGACTCGTGGTGCGGGTTACGCTCGACTCTCTGGTACGATCATCGCCACCGTACCAAGAGGCCTTCAAAAACAAAAGACGGTCAGAGACGACGACAACGGCTTTTCGGCTCACGCGGCTCTGGTCGTCTCGTGTGCAACCATCGTCTCGTGTGCAACCATCGTCTCGTGTGCAACCATACATTGTAGCGGCTTCGAACGGCTAAGGCGTATGTGGTGCCTTGGCCGCCACAGCAGCAATACTCAAAGAGACAATGGTGTATTCTAGACGAAACACTTGAACGTATTGTAAAAAAAAATTTGCAATCAAAATAGCCAATGGTGGGACACCAAGGGGAATAATTTACTATGAATTTTCGCCTTCAAACCAGATCATTAATTTAGAAGTTTACTATTAACAATCGCTACATGTAAACGAATATTTAATGAATCGTCTACATCTCGTCAATAAAAAAGGAGTCGTGTTCCATCAGGACAATGCTCAATTTTGATTCAAAACAAAATTAAGGATTTAAATTGAAAAGTTATGGAGCATTCCCCAAACTCCTTCGCTTTAGTACTGTCAGATTATCACTCTTTTGCCTACAAAATTATTTAAATCGAAAAAGTCCTTCAAGATGATATTAAAAACCTCGTAGGACAGTAGGGAAGTATTAGAGATTAATGGACATTATGTCGTTGGTTAAACTAGTAATTTTCTCTAAAAACAATACAGTCGGATTTACTTCTGTTCAACTCAATATAAAGTACGATAAAAAACGACATAATTTATGGGATGACCTAATATTTCACACAGTATGTTTACAGTTTGTCCAAAATGAAGGAACAGTTAGCAAAACTCGAGTGGAAAGCGCATTTAAATTCCAGGTTCTAAAGAATGAGTTATCTGATAAAACGAAAATTAAATTATGAATTTTTAAATGATTCCTTATTGGGTGATTCAGGCACAGTTAATCTTGTATCTCGTGCGTGTATTCTACGGTAATTATCGTTGCATCCTGTCTTGGAATATTTTTCCATCTTTTTTTCAAATCGTACATTACTTCATCATGCGCTGTATGTTTTCGAGGTCGCCCGCTACTCGACTCGTTTTTGTTATTTTTTATGTTATGTCATACAAATTTTTACAAATACCAACAAATAAATTTCCAGTACACAAACGAAAAAGAACAGGTAAATTTTGCAAATTCATCAAACCTTATAGCGTGTACTGTTTTCGGTACACATGGCGTGGAAATAACACTTATAATTAGTCAAAAGCAACTTGACAGGGAACGTGTTAAATAGCCCTGACCATAGGTCGTTCTTTCATTAGTTTTTGTTCAGACAGTGGATTAGACAGTGCAGTTATGACCAAGCGCGACATTATCTATACTTAATGCAAATAGAAGAAAATATTTGAAAGATAAAATTTAATTGTCATAGCCACAATTAATTGTCATTACACAGTTGCTTAACACGTTGAAATTATTATGATTTATTATCAAAATTCTTGTTTGATTTGAATAACGTTTAAATAAAAGAATTTTTATTTTACAGGTATCGCATTCACGCTCTTGTTTTGCGGGCTATATGTTCTCACTGTAAGAACAGGAACAAGGGCGTTAATGGATTTAAGAAGGATAGAGATTCTTTATTCCCAGGCTAGGGAGCTGAGAAAAAGAAGCAGACGTTGGTTATTAGCGTACGAAATAACGCCACAATGTACCGTAAACCGACGGAGAGCCTTCACGCATGGCGGATCGAAGTGAACAGGACACGGAGAACAAGCACGATCGATTCGTGGCTCGTTACGGCGTCTGGTCGAAAGTTCGAGCGAGCTCCGTGCATTAATATTTCCGTTATTGCGCGCACGAGCACACCGAGGTTATGCCTTTCACACAGACAAAATAATAATAATAGCGATCGTCGGTCGTCCGCTGCTCCCCTGTGTCTTCCAATCGTTCGCGTTGTTCTTCGTTAGAAAAGTCAACAGCGTCGATAATCCACAGTATGTGGTGTCTCGGTTCTTGCACCAATCCACGTTATGGATACTTGCAACGGAATTAAGCCAGTAATGCACTCAGAAATAGTTGACGAGTTAATTAAGTCCCTTTTTTGGTGGTTCTTTTTGTGTTACAGACTCGATGCTATTTCCACGTTTAAATTTGTTAACAATGTCACTCGCTGTACTTCTACTCATATTAACCATTGCCGGAATTTCTCTGAATGATTTTTCAATAATGCATTTTTTGGTATAAGTTTTCATGAATTTTTTTTATCTATTTGGTCTCGGTAACACTCAGTATAAGTTTGGTCCTGACCTTTTCGGACACCTTGCATATAAGAATCACATTCACGATATAAAAATAATTATATAAATGATACTTTTACTTTAAACAGGCATTGATACATTATGATTAGAATAAGAACGGTTCAGAAAATTGTCTGTATTTGAAAGGAATATATAATTTATTTTTATTTGAATTCTTCACAGATATCTATTGATATTTACAAAATATGTATAAATTTTTTCAAAGTAAATTAATCATAATTGAGCATTTTGTATGTTCTAAAACGTAGTAAAAAAAAGTCGTTTCATGATTTCAACCATCTTACATATGTGAAATAAAAAATGAAAAAAGATTCTTAATTAGGATGAGTTTAGTTATAGAAAGTACTAACACGAAAGGAAAAAGTAGATAATTAAATAAATAGTAACACTTTGAAATTTAATTATCATCCTGAAACCAGCTAAAAAAGTATAGTTTTATGGAAAACGTGTTGAATACATTTTTCATCATTTTCGAAAACTAAAAAAATATGAAACAAACGAATTTGGACATAGGATTGTACACATATAACTGTTTTTAAAGAAAATATTTAAAAAAGAATCGATTTTTTGAAAGTTTACAGTAAGATACTCTCTTAACTTCCATTTCCCAAGTCAGTGGAGAAATGGTAAAAACCTGCTGTTTCTATCAATAATTTTAAAGGAAACGATAAAAATTGGTAAAAATGCTCTAGTTTTACAGATAATTTTGTGAAAAACCAATTGACTTATGGATGGGGCAGTATGTACATACTATAATCGAACCTCGGGCGTCCAATTCCATAGATCACTGTGGAATCCTTAATCCAAAACGGTCACGTCCCCATCACTACACAACAGCTCATACATTTTCACGCAAAAATGAAATACTGAAACTCTTAGGATAATTGACGAGAGAGGTATCGAAGAAGAAAAACGGAGTAAAACACGATTGTATCTGTTCGAATCCGTGGTTGCGGCGCGACTGAAGCGTCGATCCCGGGACTTTCACTTCGAGATCCGTGCGACCCTCCAATCCCTTCTCGATCCGATTATCCGCAGCACGCCCACGCTCACCGCTCTGAATCACGATCGAATTGTTCTTACGCGAATAATACCGTTCGTCCAGTGGATAGGGTGAGTAAAGATTGAACGAGAGGCACTGCCTGGTCGCATTTTTCCAGAGATCATCCAGTGAAGTTTAATCCGAAATGGTAAAAATCAAAAATCGAACGGAACTTTTAACAGTTTTTTATCTTTTCTATTTAGTAATTAATGAATATATTTTGATCCTAGCATAAAAAAACCAGGTATTCTGTTACCTTTTCCCACATTTTGTTAGAGAATGTTTGATGCTCTATCGCCAAATCAATCGGAATCATTCATTGTACAGTTCTATGTTGAATTGTGTTTTCAAAATAAGAATTTATAGAAAAATATTTATTTATACAAATATTCTTGTTTAATTGTGAGTATGTATTAATTTTTTCAGCAGTTTGAAAATGGAAAATACGCGGCCATTGGTTAAACAATTCAAGAAAAGGTAGATAGAGAAATGATAATGAGTAGCAGGAGGTATTACGACTTCAAACGTATTTATAGGCTTGTTTAGTAACCAAGATACTCAGTACCCATGTTAAGAAAGTTGTAATTAGGTTTACTATAAATAGATACATGAAGACATTTTACAAGTAAGTCATATAGAATATGAAATTCTTAAATGAAACTAAATTTCTTTTATCATTGTGACCTGTATAACACAATTCTACTACGTTCTTTTTTCCTTTTCAAAAAGAAGAGACTGATTTTCAAATGCATTTTTCAAAAATTGATTATTGGAACAAAGTTTCCATATTATGGTAATTCCATCCAGGACTTGCTATTTATTTTTTTAAAGCCCTCATTAACAAGTTACCGAATCTTTTTCACCAAGAATGCATAGTGTTGTCCTTTTTACGAATGAAAAGTCAAGTTTCTATCAGTTAATTATCGGCTGCGTGAATCGCCGCAGACCCGTGGAAGCACCGTACTCTTCCGTGCTGAATCAGAATCGAGCCGATGCATATTTGAAAAACAAACGAAAGCGTTTACGTAAGCGATTCCTTTTCGTTTTCCGTTGCTGTTCCTCGTTCAACGAACCACGATAACAAACTTCGCGGTTGCAAACACGCGAGTTCATTCACTTTCACGTTTACCGCTACTTGTCATCGGCTTCTTTTATTATTCGGAACATCTAAATCGAATACACGGACTGACATGATTTCTGTAACTTTAAATATGGAATCTGTTAAGTTAATTTCCAATCTAGTTTTTTCCTTCCAGAAGAAAATACAAAATTATAAACTTATTAGTTAGATTTATTACATTCTTTAGAATTTAATTGAAATCTTCACCTTTAAGTTTTCATCTTTTTGTCTCTTATTTGTTATATACTATACTATTTCTTTATTTAATTAAATTCTTTCATAGAATTTTAACACATATTTGAAGAAGATCGTTAAAAACTTGTTCAGGCCATATAGGTATAAGATATTCTATAAATTTCCAAGCTAGGATTTTGGATTTGTTTAGTTTTATGAAATCAGTTTGACCAGTAAACGTGTTAAAATTTCTCTATATAGTGGTCTCTGTACGAATGATTTTCTCGCTTGTAGGAAGAGTTTATTTTGCAATGGACGCAAACGGAAAATTAATACTAGTCGGCGAGGCGGCAACAGAAACGTAATCGTGGCAGGTTATATCGAGTCCCAGCTGTTCACCTCCATCGTCATAATCCATACCCTGACTTTCCTCGTTGTACAGTTACTCCAGGGTGAAAGGTGAACCCTCTCCCTTCCCTTTAAGATTGAACACAAAGGAGGATCTGCGGCTATACTTGTCTGACGGCAATTACAACATCGAGGCACTGTGCTTCGTTCTTCCTCGGCTTCGGGAACCAATTCTTGAAAATAATGATTCATAAGCAAGAAGGGTTGGTCTCTATACGACCGCGTGTTTTGTTTAGAAAATAGCAATTGTATAATTTCATTAATATTTTTCTCTTTCTCCAGTCGTAATTTCAAAAAGACCTTTACGTAACTCGGCTTATTAGTAAACCTTTTTAATACAAACAATTTATACATATTTTTGTAAATGTCTGGAATGAATTTCTTGAAAAAAGAACTCGGATGTTCTCTATTTGTGATATTTAGATAAAGAACAATGTGATAAGCATTTAAAAATCTCGAGTAAAAAGGGCTATCAACTTTAATTGTTGATGTTTCTATCTTAAAAATTTTGGAAACTCATTGAACCGATAAATTTTGTTTTTTCCCACGAAGTTCTGAATTTTATCGTCGTTAACGAGGAAAATTTATTACAATTGCAGGGACAGAGGTATCAGGAAACCTCGTTTGAAGTACGCTGCTTTGAATCGGGCAACTGTCCTTATCCTCCTTCCCACAAAAAGACGAATACTCGCACACATACGCGTGTTTCGTGACCAGGCGAAATAAGGCCAAGGAAAATGGGATCCAAGTACGCTGAAGTCATGCAAGAAGCTCGAAACAAAGGAAAACATATCGGACGTCTTGCCGGAATCGAGTCTAATCTCAATTATCATTCCCTGTACGAATCCTTCTTTATTATTTTGTCGTGCCCTCGGCGCGAGCCATCGCGATGAAAGTGACATCATATTCTCTTCACGAACCAGTTCTCATTGACTTTAATACCGGTTCCCTTCGGCGATGGCTCTGCGACGGACCCAGCACACTCGTCGGGCGAGGTTGTAACCTTAGGATGGGTTCACAGTCACGTAGTTCACTCTGTTTAGATTTGTTTAGGCCAGATATCATAAGTGTTATAAGCAGAGTCGGATACGTTTTATTCGCAAATAAAATAAGCCCTTTGGCAAAAGAACGAGAAACAATCGTAGCAATGATAAGATTGAAAAGGTCAAACGGGCCGCAAAATTTTGTGGATCGGGTGTTCGGTGTGCCCGAGTTACAAGGGATTAAGCAAAGCGAGGCATAAAGAAACTACGAGTTGGTCCGTACGAGAAGGATGCAAAATAATTATTGCGAAATGATACCCGGTGCTTCAACCTGCTTCGGGTTACACAACACCAGATGCACCCACTGATGCATCGCATCGGTTATTACTGGTACAGACCAGCGTGCGAGGTACGAAGTTACATCGTCGAGCGACTCAATAAATTCATCACGGATTCGCGGCGGTTCAACCGCATGGAACGCCGTGACAGTTCGTTAACGTGAGAAACGATCCCATTCAACCGTGGAACAGAGTTTGAAATTCCTCGTCTGTGTCGTTTCGTTTCTTCCGGATCACTGCTTCCCGTTTTTATTTCTTAGCCGTATTTGCATTGCAGAGCAATTCATTTTAATTTCATGGCTCCTGTACTGTAACTACAGATTTATCGAATCGAAGGTTTGTTTCCTCATTGATCGGTTAAACGCGTAAGGCTACAGTTACAGTGGATACGTTTTGGTTCGAACTAGAGTTCTGACGAAATTTAGCCAATCGAACCAACCTTTTCAATCAACGATAAACAACGGAAACCTCTTGTTACTGTACTGTAGGCTACTTATACTTGACACACACAAATACATTTCATGAAATAGAACTCGGTGGTTGTTTATGTAAACTGAATTAGAACGAGGTGATTGTCGGGTGTAGAGATTCGCGTGTGTTCTGACGAAGGAAACCACTCGTAGAAGAATCTACAGGATTGATTGTTCTGATGTGTTCGTCAGAACTTCAGTTCGGACGAGGTCGCAGCCACTTTAACTGTAGCTTAAGGTGGGCGCATACTGTGGCGCGGCTTCTTTTCTTGCAAACAAACCGGGATCGCCAGATTTTAAGTTTGAACGAGACTTTGTTTCCAAGAAAAGGGGGTCAAGACTTGATGGAATTAAGGGTGGTAACAAAATTTTAGGTATTACATATTTCTCTTTCTCGATATACATAATTATAATATGACATAGAAAGAATATGAATTAATTTCCTTTATGATTTTATAAAGGCATATATAAACAAACTTTAAACAAGATAACAACTATAGTTAGTAAAATAATAAAACAAAGTGAATGGATCTTCTTGGGCGTTAATTCGAGGTCTGAAAAGAAGGAAGAAAAAGCCACCATAGTGGTGAAGGAAGTCGTTTGCGGTCGAATGAATCGAACCTTGGAAAGAGAGGCCGTCTCCTCGGGCAGACGATGCTGAAAACAACTCGTAAAAGCCTGCGGCACGTCGATGAGAAGTCTCCTTTGTGGGATTACCGTTCGACCGCCAACCAAGCGACCAGATCTCGCTTCAGGGAATTCGCCATAACGATCTTGACTCTCGTTTCGTTCGAGATGGATTCACGAAATATCAGCTGCGTGTGTAGTAATGTCCTTCGCGTAGTTACAAATTTTTGTTCTTTAGGTTGTTGCATAGTTGGCTTGATGGTTTGAACGACAATCTATCGGTTGTAATCTAATAAGAACGGGCGCGAACCGAGCCAACAGACTGGCAAGATGATTTCAGAAACGGGTTCCAAACGAGCGTCGAGCAAGAAGATCGTTCGCTCACGGAAAGACGGTGGAAGGTCCAAGAAAAGAAAAAAAGAACAAGCAGGATGATTCGCAGTCCTGATGATACTCGGCTGTCCTTGAATCAGCTTGTAAGCTAAATTGACTACACGGATCTTCGTGAAGTTTTCAGGGTACCAACTCCGCCCTTCAAATTGATTTTTCGTTGGAAAAAGAGTTTCTTGCAGAAAAACTGCATATTAATTTTTGTATACATACTGTTAAAATAATTGCTGCGCTGGAACTCTTCAGATCATATTAATCCGAATGGGAAATAGATTGTAATATTTCAATTAATCTGATCTCCATTAAAAATAAATGATTTATTGCAAATATAGAACAAGTAATAACATCAAATGTATGTATTAAAGAATTTTATATTTATATTTTATATA